TAGAGTCCTAAAAGGAGAAGAAGAGGAATGTGGAGCTCAATAAAATATTTAAAGAAATAATGACCAAAACTTCCCAAATTTGTCAAAAGGCAGAAACCAAAAATTCAAGAAGCTGATCAAATCCCAAATAGGATAAACTCAAAGAAATCCATGCTGAGACATGTTATAATCAAACTTCTGAAAGGTAAAAAAAAAAAAGAAAAATGATTGAAAGCAGGTAGGGAAAACAATGTATTACCTATAGGAGAACAAAGATTCAAGCAGTGTACTTTTCATCTAGAGGCCAGAAGAAAGTGGCATACTTTTCAAGTGCTGAAAAAACAAATTGCTAATCTAGAATTCTACGTCCAGTGAAAATATCTTTCAGTAATGAAGGTAAAATCAAGGCATTTTAAATGAGAACAAACAGGGAATTTATTGCCAAACAACCTACCCTAAAGAATTCTAAAGGAAGTTCTTCAAACTGAAAGAAAATGATAAAAGAAGAAACTTGGAAGATTAGAAACGAAGAAATAACAAAGGAATAGATAAAAATACCTCCATTACATTTAGCCATAAATATAATTTATGCCTAATAGAATATTCATGTTTTATAGTTTAAAAATTATGTTTGACAGTTGAAGCAAAAATTATTACATCATGTGATGAGCTTCTCAATGTAACTAGAGAATATATTTGAGATAATTATAAAAGCATGTAAATGGAGGTAGGGTTTCTACATTTCACTTAAAGTGGTAAAATGTTGATTCCATTACATTGTAATAAGTTATGTATGTATAATACCTAGAGCAAACACTACAAAAACTATTCAAAGAAATATACTCAAAAACCCCGCAGATAAATAAAAATGGAATTCTAAAAAATGCTCAAGTAACTCATAAAAAGAAAAGGGAAACAGAGGAAACAAAGAAAAATTAAATAATAACATGGCAGACTTAGCTATAACATATCAATAATGCAAGATAAAATGTCAGCATGGGAAAAAATAACTTAGTACAATTAGAAACCAAAATAAACATTACAATACCATTTAAAATAGCTCCAAAATGTTACATACTTTGGTACAAATCTAACAAAGGTATTGATATACAGACCCTGTAAGCTACAATTACAAAACACTATTAAAAAGAAAAAAAGAAAATCTCAATAAATTAAGAAACACACTGCATTCATGGAATGATAGACTCAACATGGTCAATAATATGTTAATTCTTTCCAAACTGATCTACAGATTTAGCACAATGCCAGTCCTTTTTTTAAAAAAAACTTATTTTTGTAGCTAAAACTTATATGGAAAGACAAAGGGACTAAAAAATCTAAAACAATTTTGAAAGAGAAGAATAAATTTGGTCACTCTCACTGAGGTTAACATCCATTAGAAATTATAGTAGTCAAAAAACAGGTGGTTCTCATGAAATCTTATAATAGATTAATGGAATAAAACAGAGTCCTAAAATAGACCTACAGAAATCTAGTCAATTGATATTTGACAGTTACAAAGCCAAATGATCTTAGAAAGGATAGCCTTTTGAAAGTGATATTGATACAACTGGACATATATTTGCAGAAAAATGAACTTTAACTTATAATGTACATTTTATATAAAAAGTAGCTCAAAATGGATCATAGAGCTAAATATAACATGTAAATCTTCTTCAGAAGAAAACATGAGATAAAATCCTTGTGACCTAGATCAGGTAAATAATTCTCAAAGCCATGATCTATAAAAGGACAAAAAAGGATAAACTGGATTTCATCAAATTAAAAACTTTTGCCATGTAAAAGATACAGGTTAAGAGAATGAAAAGGCAATCTACAGAATGCAAGAAAATATTTGCAAATCACATTAAGGATCTGTATAGAGAATATATAAAGACCCCTTAAACCTCAAAAATAAGAAAAAGATTATTTAATTTGTTTAATAACCAACCAATTTTTTAAATGGGCAAAATATTTGAACAGACACTCATCAAATATGATATAAAGATGGCAAATAAACACATGAATCCATTAACCATTAACTATTAGGAAAATACAAATTAAAATCACAGTGGGATACCCATTGGTATGGTTTTAAAAAAAATACTGGCAACACCAAGTGCTTACAAGGACATGGGGCAACTGGACTCTGATGAATTATTGGTGGGAATGAAATGGTATAGCTACTCTGGAAAACAGCATGGCAGTTCCTTACAGAGTTATACATACACTGACCGTATGACCCAGCAATGCAAATCCTGGATATTCAAAAAGTTATGTTCAAATAAAAAAACCTGTGTATAGGCAGGCTCCATTTTTAATCCCAAAAAACTAGAAAAGACCCAAATGTTCTTCAGCAGATGGATAAACTGGTATATCCATATAATGGAATATCACTTAGCAATAAAAAGGAAAAAAGTGGATGAACCAACTTGAATGAAAAAGGCATTATGCTGAGTAAAAGAGGCCAGTCTCAAAAAGTTACAGTGTCTCTCACACTTTGATATTTTGCCAAAAAAAAAAAAAAAGTTACAGCCTATATGATTCCATAGGTATGGCATTCTGAAAAAGGCCAAGTTCTAGGGAGGGAGAATGAATTGCCAGGTGTTAGGAGTAGAGGAAGGATTTGACTACAAAGGGGCAGGACAAGGAAATTTTTCAGATGATGGAACTATTTTGTATCCTGATTGTGGTGGCAGATACTTGAATCTATACATGTGTTATAACTCATAAAGCCACACACTAAAAAGGTTAATGTACTATATAAAATTTTTTTAAAAGTCTTATCATTTCATCATACTTTTTGAAATTAGTTTTATTTTTAACATCACACTCCATGAAGAATATTTAATACTAAACACACTTCTAAGCTCCTTGAGAATAGAAGGTTTGTCTGATGTTCTCATTTCATTCACCTAGCAAAGTATGTGTAAGAAGGCAGTAACTCAAACATGTTTGTTAAGTGAATAAATGTTTCACAAAATAACTCAACCCTGCCCCCCAAAATTTTTACTTGATTTAAACTTTATTCGATGCTTTTAAAAAATTCATTACCTTTTTACTAAGACTGATCTGAAAAATAACTATTTTACAATTGGCTATCACTTCAGTGAACATAAACAGATTGTAGGAAAAAAATCCATACTTTAATAATGACTCATCATTCAATTCAAAAAGGATCATTTTTAAAGTACAAACACTACTGAGTGAACATATCATAATTCTGAAAGTTCTTTAACTTTCTTAAAAAGGCCTTGCTACATTTTCTTTAGTGCTATTTCATTAATGAATAAAATAAACCCCAAATGTTCCACACTTACATGTAACCTCTGCCTGAATTTTCTTGAATAGATTAAATCTCCCAACTAGTTAGATTAGGTCTCTAATTCACTTCATCCAAAATTAACTTTTTTGGAAGACAGAAAACTCATTAAAGATTATCAGGTAAAACATTGATACAGGCTTCAACATGGATGAGCCTTGAAAACATTATGCTAAATGCAAAAAGCTAGTTATAATGGATCATATATTATAACATCCCATTTATATGAGGTGTGCACAATAGGCAAATCTATAGACACAGAAAGTAGATTAGTAGTTCCCTAGGACAGAGGAGGGTGGGATGGGAGGGTTAGAGAATGACAGCTAAGTTGTGTAGGTTTTGGGGGTGGTGGTGATGAATATGTCCTAAAATTGATTGTGATAATGGATGGTACAACTGTTTGAATATATGAAAGGCCATTGAATTGTACAGTTCATGAACTGTATGGCTTGTGAATTATAAAAAATCTACAAAGATTATCAGGAAATGCTTCTGGGATAAATCTATGTAGTCTACAACATAATTTTTAAAATAAGACTTCATTATCATGATTAAATATGTGGCACTAGTAGAATATACTGCACTTTGAGAGGTAAATGGGAGTATACATTTAAACTTGGATGTGGTCATATTCTCAAAAGTTTATCATTACATGGGAAAGGTTGTAACCAAAAGTTATACATGGTATCATGTAGTAAATAAAACAAGCTTCTGATTTATAGCTAAGAAAATTCAGTGACATTTAATTGCAATATGCCATATGATGGTAAATTCTAGCAGTCTAAAAGACATACAGGCTTTCAAAAAAAACTGTATAATCCAAATGTCAGAAATTAACTCTAAATGAAGAAATAGTTAAGTAGCAGACGAGGCTAATTATATTAGTCTAACTCCTTTTCGTCTCAAAAAAAAGAAAAAAATAGAAGAAGTGTTCTTTCTTTGCCAGGATGAATATAATAGCCTGCGAATTATAAGATCAAGCAAGCAAACTGTATGTTTTCTAAAATATGAAGTATCCTTCATCAAGTTTTATACTTAGGGCAGCTAAAAGACCTATGTGGAAAAATCAGCATTAAGCCCAAAGGACAGGCAGTGAACAGCAAGAAAGAAAGCAATTCCCTCGTGTCTTTTGCAGGTCACTACCAAGGACCATGTTAGCAGATCCACACCAGACCCTTAACAGGCAGTTCTGCTGCTACCAGTAATTAGCTTGGACAGCTCTGGCTCCAAGAGTAGCAGCAAGGCTACACCATAATGAGCTCAGCTGGGATTAGCAGGACAGGGCAGGGAACCAAGAGAGCTCAGGCATTCTGCATTGCGTATGTATCTAGGAGATCAAACAAGGATGGCTGGCTAGGTTATCCCCTCTCCACCTCATTCCAAAAATGAAGCACGGCAGTGTCTAAAATACAGGCTAATGAAGAGCGACACCTCCAACAGATGAGAGCCACATTAATTAACACAATCCCTAGATCATATTATACTGTTTCTGTTAGAGCTAGCAAATGTGCAACTTGTTATTGCATGAGATAGATATATGTATATTTTTAAAAGCTAGTCTCTTTTTCTTTACTTTCATTGGCAAGAATCAATTTCATTTTCAAATTTTATAAAATATTTCTCTAATAGCCTCTAAGCCATAAAATAATCCTCCCCGATGTTTACTAAGTCCGTATTGTTAAGAAAGAAAGGAACTCACTTTTGAATCATTAGCTCCTGGTTTTCCCTTTTGAAATATGCCAGTTCATTCCATACAGCATCAGAATCTTCTTGTCGAAGTTGTGTGGGATCTGCTCTCTTTATTTTTCTGATTTCAGTCCTATTTTTAAAATAAAGTTGCCTTTTTTCTTTAACATCTTCAAAATGTAATAAAAATTAATTTATATATTCCATAAAATTTAAAAATATCTATTAACCAAATTTCTAATTCAAGCTGTTTATTGGATGAATTTCCTAAAACCTAAGCATGTAGAAATTAAAACTTCCTATCATAATTTCCTAAAGCTAAATTGCTGCTATGGAAAGCAAACTTTTAAACAGATACATGATATTCTTAGGTCTCTCATTCATTTTCATAGTAATAGAACACACTTTAGAATTTTAGCAGTCTCCAAAAAAGACTAAGCAACCAACTCATCTAGAATTTGCTGCCTATCAATCTGAATGTGGTACAGATGCCCTATCTTTAAAAAAAAGCTATTAGCAGTGCATATGTCAGAAAGTAGATTTCAATCTTTTAGTGATTACTAAAAAGTTAGGTGAGCAAAGGCTAAATCTAGAACACATTGCTTTATCACTGCTTTACTGACAAGCAATATGAAACACCTCCATTCATTAAAAGAAAAAATCAGATGTGACAATTATCTACAAATGATGCCAAATGCCCTTTACATTTTCATTTTCTGTACATAAAACAAACTCTTCATTCTCACTTTGTAAAAGTGCTGTACTGGCCAATTTAGAAACAGTATTTCTCTACAGAACAGACCAATGTGTATCATCAACATTGCCCTAAAGGATCCATCTCAAAAGATGAGAGGGTAGTAGATTTTCTGTACTCATTCAGTCCTTTGCCCTCTGTTGATACTGTTAACAGGGGAGCCACTTACAACTAACCAAGATCTGAACACCTGTTCAAAGCAATTGAATTGAGACTGCCAATTCATTCAGATAAGCTGGAGAACAAACTGATGGATAGTAAAGATCTTCAAATTGCATACTAGGTTGGAATAGTTTTAAGATAGTTAACTATGTATGTGAATTTCATATTTCTCCTGTCTTTCCATTAAAACTTAAATACTTTCTGGGTTATAAACATTTTAACACCACTATTTTATTTATTTAAAAGCAGTTTTCCAACCATGTGGATATTAACTATACTTGGTTTAAATTATATACTTTTATTAAGCTATTCCATTAATATTAAAAATATATATAATAATTCATAATCACCTCCATTTGATATCTACAAATGATAGGCAAATGTATAGTTATATTCTCTGTTTTCATTTGTTATATTCTCCATTTAAAAATTCACAGTAAAGATTTGACTACCAAATAATTTCTTTAAAACCAAACAAAAGCCATTAAAACACCTATATAACGCTACTCCATTCCATTTAATATTTAGGGAAATGCCTTTATGAGCTATGTAACTCACATGCCACTGCCTTCTTCCCACTGTTTTAATTGCTCTTTTACTGCTCTATAGTTGGTTTGTAACATCTGTAGCCTTTCCTTGCGTTTTTCATGGGCATCTCTTAGCTCATCATTTTCTTGGCTCTGTAGAACACAAAAAAGCAAGCATATAAGTTTGAAGAAAGTATTAACTTAATGTTTGAAATAAAAGGTAACCTATCTAAATATGAAATTTTAAAAAATGTGTAAACATGAGTACATTTGTAATACTTATTTTAGCAGAAGAAAATAATTTCTCAAGTCACGGAATAGGTTTGCTTGATAAATTCAATCCACATACAGCATTTTGTAAGCTGCTTACATAATTTCAAAATTTTGCCATCAAGTTATTTTCATTCCTTTCCTGTTGTTAATATACACATAAATGTTCATAAGCCTATATTACAGATTTCCTCTTTTTCAGCATAGGATTTATCTATACATATAGCATGATTATTTTGTTAAAGTGCAAGTAAGACTAGGATAAGGACATTAATCACAGTAAGACCAATTCTTCAGTCCATGAATTCAAAATTAATATATAAAAAGCATAAAGATTATACAGGAGGAAGAGAATGAGACTGGACCCATGTTAGAAGTAGCACAGTTTATCCTTTTAGGGTTGTACCATAAAGAACTGAAAAAGGAAAGCTAGACTTAGCACTCTTGAAGAGGCTATAGAACAGACAATCCAAACACTATGTTGTTGTTTCAACACCTAGCTTAAACAATTATAGTCAACTACTTTCTAAATGTATAGCAAATAAGATAAATTTTCATTTTTAGACATAATCATAAAATATAAAGACCAAGTTCTTAGCCCTCAGATGTATTCACACGATGTATGAACTATGTTTCTCAAAGTAAAATAAGTAACTTCTGGAGTTTTTTTCCTCATGAGAATTTCAAATATTTAAAAAATTCTTATTCATATATCTGCATGAATGCATTTGTATGTTTACTAGGTAGGGGCAACAGATACTTTCTAACATTATAGTGATATGAGATGAGTAGGCATATGGCAATCAAAAAATCTGAATTCCATTCTTAGACCTTCTCCTGGTAGTTGCATTATCTTAAGAACACTACTTAAATTAACTCAATTTCTTTTTCAGTAAAACATAGAAAAGAAAACAGAGGATTAAATTGTGATGTTTAAATGAAATAAGCTAACATAGGCAGAGCCCCTGGCATTATACCTGCCCTATAAAGGAACAAAGCAAAAATTAACTTCTTTCAGTCTCTATTTCCCAGATATTAACAGTGATGCTTTTACATGCCAAATTTGCTTTGTTCTTGATCATTTACCTCCATCTAAACAGTAGGATAATCCTCTATAAAGTTTGTATTATTTTACTGTAATTCTACCGTGTCTCAGCAGTATGGATATTTTGTCATTCTACTTTTAATACATTTCTAGTAGAATAATTCTCTTAAGTAGTTATTAGCAAGTATTTGAGTCTTATCTGTACCAAGAAGTATTCCTTATGCTAATGGAAATAGAAGTGCTTGATGAAAAAGCAAGAGCTTCTACACAGCCAAGGAAACAATCATTAGAGTGAACAGACAACTTACAGAATGGGAGAATATATTTGCATGCTATACACTTAATAAAGGGCTAATAACTAAAATCGATAAAGAACTCAAGCAAATCAGCAAGAAAAAATCAAACAACCCCTTTAAAAAGTGGGCAAAAGACATGAATAGAAATTTTCAAAAGAAGGTAGGCTGATGGCAACAAACATATGAAAAAATGTTCAACATCTCTAATTATCAAGGAAATGCAAATCATGCCCACAAAGAGATATCACTTAAATCCAGTGAGAATGGCTTTTATCAAAAAGTCCCCAAACAACAAACATTGATGTGGATGCAGAGAGATAGGAACACACATACACTGCTGGACCACAAACTAGTACAAACTCTATGGGAAGTAGTATGGAGATACCTCAAAGAACTAAATGTAGAACTACCTTTTGATCAGGCAATCGCACTACTGGGTATTTATCCAAAGGAGAAAAAGACGTTCTATAAAAAGGACACCTGCACTCAAATGTTTATAGTAGCACAATTCACAATTGCAAAGATGTGGAAACAACTCAAGTGCCCATCAACACATGGGTGGATTAATAAAATGTGGTATATGTATACCATTAAGTACTACTTAGCTATTAAAAAATGGTGAAGTAATACCTCTTATATTAACCTGCATGGAACTGGAGCACATTCTTCTAAATGAAGTATCACAAGAATGGAAAAGCAAACACTACATGTACTCACCATTAAATTGGAACTAATCGATCAACACTTACGTGCACATATGGAAATACCATTTATTGGAAATCAAGCAGGTAGGAGGGTGGATGAGGGGATGGGTACACTGACATCTAAGGAGTACAATGCACACTATCTGGGGGATGGGCACACTTACAACTCTGACTCAAATGGTACAAAAGTGATTTATGTAATTTAAATGTCTGTACTCCTGTAATATTCTAAAATTAAAAACAACAACAACAACAACAACAAAGCCATGAGAATGGCATCAGCTGACAGGGCATTCAAAATAAATGTTATCCTATAGAGTTTTAGAAGATATACAATTCACAGTTAATGCAAACTTGCTCAAAAGTGGCATAAATTAATATGTGAAGTAAAAGTCAAATATTCAGGAAACTGAGTTCAATTTTGTTCATTTCAATTTAAAAACCACATGAATAGCCTATTACATGCAGGAGGTTAGGTGCTGATAAGAGTTCAAATATTGCTGCTGAAAGTTACTACATTTTACTTCGATACAGCTATGTAAATTCAGTATATCTCAGTGTCTCCATCTTCAAAATAGAGACTATTTATATCTCTTCTTCTAAGACAGAAAGAATTATTTAACTTGGGAGCTTGAATTTTTCATATTAAGTTTGATAAACAATCCAAATATCACTTCACATCTTTGACAATAAGCTTTCTAATCTTAAGAAGGTGAAATAAACAAATTAGTCACCTAGATAATATCTTAATAATTAAGATAATTAATAATTAATAATGTTGGTATCTTCTGTTAAATAAACATGTTAATTATGTTCATTGGAATTCCTGAAAACTAAAAACTTTATTAGGAATTTCAACAAGATGTATTAGAAATGTATTAATAAAATAATTTAATTATAAAAAATTTATAGACCATATTGGAAAAGATTCATGTCAAAACAATTTCAAAATAAACTTATAGTTAAACTAAAATGAAGATTTTATGTTAATGACTTCTAAAATAGCTTTCTGTAATTATTCTTCATTGAATCAAAGTTCTTCCCCTAAACTTTTATTTTAAAATGAATTTCTTAAAAATTATTACATATAGGTCAGGCACAATGGCTCATGCCTTTAATCTTAGCACTTGTGAGGCAAAGGTGGCAGGACTGCTTGAGGCCAGGAGTTCAAGACCAGCCTGAGCAACATAGTAAGACCTTGTCTCTATAGAAAATAGAAAAATTAGCTGGGCATGGTGGCACGTGCCTGCAGTCTCAGCTACTCATGGGGCTACATTGGGAGGATCACTTCAGCCCAGGAGTCTGAGGTTACAGTGAGCTATGATCACACTACTACATTCTAGCCAGGACAACAGAGTGGGACCCTGCCTCAAAAGAAAAAAAAACAAAACAGTATTACATATAAACCCAGTGTTTGGGAGATCATTAAAGAAAGTTCTGTGTTAGGGTCATTAGAAACTCTGAGCAAATGGAACCTAAAAGATTGACCCAAAAGTGAATACAAATTTTCTTGATTACTTTTCACAAAGATCCTCTGTTGAATTAATGGAACAAATTGAGATTCTTGTTAGTATTTTCACTATATTTAGCATTTTTTGGTACTGCCTCAGCTACCATGAATCATTAAATTTATACCCAATTCTTTCCCTAATTCTCAAATAGCAAGTAACTATATTACACCATTAAACAAAAGATTAAGACTCAATAAAAATCTCCTGTGACCTATATATCACTCATGATGTGCAAGGATCTATACTAGGCATATTAATTAATCAAAGCACTGAATGCTGCTAATTCTGATTCCTAAAGCTTTAGTGCAAAATGTTCAATATTAGCAAATACTTTTGGTTTTCCTACAGTAATTTAAATAAGTGGCTATTTCCATTAAGTAGTAATTATAGAAAAATGGTTTCATAGATGAGGTTTCTGCTTTAATTTTACTTACTTCCTAATTTATTCTAACACTAGAGTGCTTACATCATCTTATAAAATTATTAATATTAAAATCTAAACTATTAAAAATGAAACTCAACTAGTGATTATTTGAACATCAATTTGATAGACATGATTTATAATAATAATTGTTTTAAAATGTAGTTTCATCCATAGATTCATGCTTTCAGGATGCTGATATCAAGTGTAATTCATGCATTAAATTAGTCCTAGAAACAATTATTTATTTGTCCCCTTTCAGAAATACATAGTAAAATTTTATAAAATGTAAATATAAGATAGATATAATTCAAAGAAAAACATTTTCCCTATTTTAATGCTGTTATAATATGTCAGGAGAAAACATCTATCAAAACTGAATATATTAAATTTTTTTAATTAACCAAAATACATTTTTAAAATAATCTTTTAAGATATATAGCTTAATAGCTTAACTTTAGTTTGGAATATGATCCTTTAAGTATCATTTGACATATAATAGTCAAAGGTAGGCCAGGCATGGTGGCTTATGCCTATAATACTAGCACTGTAGGAGGCAGAGGCTGGAGATTTGTTTGAGGCCAGAAGTTAGAGACCAGCCTGAGCAACATATGTACAAAAAAATACAAAAATTAGCCAGGCATGGTGTCACATGCCTGTAGCCTCAGCTACTTGAGAGGCTACGGCAGGAGGATCACTTGAGCCCCAAAGTTTGAGGTTACAGTGAGCTCTGACCATGCAACTGTCCTCTAGTCCAGGCAGCAGAGCAAGACCCTCTGTCAAAAAATAAAAAAGTCAAAGTCAAAATAATAGTACTTTATTTGGGAAATATTGCCAAAAAGATTTTATAACAAAATCAAAAGTAAGGTCTGAAAAATATATTTTATATTACTAACTACTACATTTTCCTAAGAAGAAACACACAAAAATATACCATGGGCAACTACTGAGATTCATTCATTAGATCATTCAATAAAACATTTACTTAGTACCTTCTATAGATTTTGAAATTAAACTAGCTAAACTAGAGGCTCTAACTTCTGTGTAGAAACAAGTTTGAATGACTGAAACATTAGGAAATATTAATAGAAAATAGAAAAAATTTTATTAGCTGACTTGCCTCAAAGATATTAATATCTGCAATTAATTCTATTTTTGTATTCATAAGGATAGAAATGATTTTTGATCTAATTTTCTGGTTTGGCCAAAGGCTCTTTGGCAAGAATAACGTGAACTAAAAGCATGAATACTGTTCACAAAGCAGTGGCTTGATCTTCAGGAGCAAGGTTTTGGAGAAGAAAAAAGAAAGCCAAAAAACTTTTATAAAATAAAATATCAAGGATTCTGTTATGTATATTTAATTTCAGCAGAATGTATTAAATTCATGTATACCAGAATATTGAAAAATAAGATATGTAAATTGCATTCAAAGGACATATTGATGTTATTAAAGGACATTGAAAAGTGCTAATAGAATCAAGTTGCCAAATGCATGAAAGTCCATAAGCAGGGACTCACTGCATTAGTGATCTCAAAAATAATAAAGATTTCACAAAGCTGAGATGCAGTGGTTGTTAGGCAAATTACAGTTGTTAGAGCATTATATTCACAAATTCAGGAACATGGATGAGATTTTTATAAAAATAGCTTCCATTTCTTCCATTACTATTGGCTTATTTATTACAATATAAGTCATCTATCTTGAAAATATGTACAACTAGCTACACAAGTAAGCTGAGCAAGATAATATGTTAATATTTTATACAAAATTCATAATTAGTATAAGATTCATTTAATATGCATAATTTACTGCTGATATAATAAAAAGCATCATTTTAATGTATCAAAGTATATATGCATGTATTTCATGGGCTACGACTGTTGAAACTTATTTGTCCTTCCTACCTTTCAATCCACCTTGGCAATCAAATTGGGACCCTCAAACTACCTACTGTGCCATGGAGCATGTCTTTAGCCTTTAGTTTAGCTAAACGAGTTCACAGTATCTTTCATGGAACAATAACCATCTTTTGAGAAATATTAGCAAATATAATATAACCAAACAAATCTGGGAAAAGATATGTCTATACCATTTTTATTGATTCACAAAGCACATTAATATGTTAAAGGTTCACAAAAAGAAAGCTCTTAATCTACTGTTTACAATAATTATTGGAACATTGAACATTTTTGTCTGTCCTGCTCCCATTAGCTTCTCTCAGAGCTGTGTTCCATATAACACCAAAGACCATGACAAAAAATTCAACATGTATTAACAAGTAATGGTCTACAAAAGGAGCACTAAGATCAACAAATGTATCTTAAAACTATAAGATACCCTTCTATCCAAAAGTATGTTGGAGTCCTAACCCTCTACCTTCGAATGTGGTCTTATTTGGAGACAGGGAATTTATATAGATAATCAAGTAAAAATTCGATCATTAGCATGGGCTCTAATCCAATATGACTGATATCCTTATAGAAGGGGGAAATTTAGACAGGGAGAGAAGGCCATGCCTAGAGGGAAGACAATGTGAAAACACAGGGAGAATGCCATCTATAAGCCAAGGAATACCAGAGGCTCCCAGAATCTAAGAGAAGAATGAAACAGATTCTCCCTCATAGCCTTCAGAAGGAGCCAACTTTGCTGACACCTTGATTTTGGACTTTTCCAGCCTCCACAACTTTGAACAATAAGTTTCTTTTTTTCTAAGCCACCCAGTTTGTGGTACTTTGTGACAGTGGCCCTAAGAAACTAATACAGACAAAGTATTAATTACTACATTACTTTATACTCACATGTACTTTAGTAATAGCAATAATATAACTATTATTATAGAATAATAAAAGGGAATATTGAATGAAGTCTTCTGTTTTCACTAACTATGACAGTTATTAGAAGAAAGTCAATTTAAAAGTACTCTGGTCTCAATCACTTTCCTTGGACTTGCTTTACTATATAGGTTTTATTTACCTACTTCTTTTGCTAAATGTTCTTGATTATAGTACGATTTTCATTCAACTATCTTACCCCTTAAAAAAAATCCTTTCCTACTAAATGATAAAAACAAGGAAAAATTTGCTCCCATTTATTCCTTACCTTGCAAATCTGTAAAAGAAGACATAAATTTAAAATTCATGATTATCAGTCACTTAAAATATGAATATAAAAAACTATAAATGAAAAAAAATTTTTACTCTGAAAATAAACTTGGGGCCTCAGCCCCAGAAAACTGTTGTCAGGAAAATGAAATAAGGAAATCAATTTAGCATAAGCCTTCTGAGATTCTTTTTAAAACACTGCATTCAAGAAGTAGAAGAGAAGACAACAGATCTAAAAATGTCTGAATTGCTTTATTCCTTCATTCCAAAAATAAGAGACTGCCAAAGACTTACAGACCTCAGGAGGCAAAAAAATAGAAAGTTCTCTGCTATTGAATGGGATATGTGATGACTAATTTTATGTGTCAATTTGACTTCCCAGATGTTTGGTTAAATATTATTTCTAGGTGGATCTGTGAGGGTATTTATGGATGAGATTAATATTTTAATCAGTTGACTACATAAAGCTGATTGCCCTCCCCAATGTTGATGGACTTGATTTGATCTGTTGAAAGCCTGAATAGAATAAAGGCTGAGTAAGAAAGATTTATTTCTCTCTGCCTGACTGTATTCAAACTGGGACATTGGTCTTCTCTTGCCTTCAGACTTGGACTTGAATTTATATCATCAGCTCTCCTGATTCTATAGCCTTTGGACTCGGACTGGAACTATACTATCCACACTCCTGATTTCCAGCTTGCCAACTACAGATCTTAGATTTCTCAGTCCCTATAATCATGTGAGCCACATATATGTGTGTAATTTACTATAAGGCGTTATACCAAATATAGCAATTGTTGTAATATATCTATAATTGGTTCTTTATTTCTCTGGAGAACTCAAGATAGAAGACTTGGCATGCAAATTTCAAGAATTATATTAGACTAGTTTCCTAAAAATGTCCATAATATCCTGTGCTTACTCACACATTTACCCTTAATACACTAGATTCTAACTATTCACATAACACCTTCTTAACTAGAGAAAAGGTCTTCAAAGGTAGCAACTCATCATGTTTCCTGTTGTACAAGTAACTTGTACGATGTTTGGATAATTGTGATGCTCAATAATTCCTACTAAGTAAATGAATGAACAAATATCTAAGTTCCTTATAAATTTCAAATACACTAAATGCTAGCTAAGGTCATGTGGTGATTTTATTTTTGGTAGAAACAATAGATGATAATTTTCCTTTGTTTTAGAACTAACAGTTTAACTATGAATAAACATAAATTAACACAATGTTTAGTGAAGAATCAGACAAGATTATTAATTATAGCTTATGGTTAACTATACCCTTACACCATATTCTGTTCTAGAACACAGATAATCTAAGTCAAACCTTTTTCTCTCTAAGAGTAATCTATATTATATGACACAGAATCTAAGCTTTAAATGTACTGGGTTCTAATCATGTGGAAAGCATTGGACTTGTCATAGAATATCATAGAACTATTTGAGAATCAATTATATGACTAAACCTCAAATAGGATAGAGGTGAATGAAGAATGAACAGTCTGCTATAAAGTCAGAGAAAAAATAAAAGCCCTTGATATAGTCACATAAAATGGATTCAATATGCATGAAGAACATCTGAGAAAATGAATTCACAAAGTATGAATTAGGAAATATAAGCCCTCAAAGATAAGCCAATAAGGTATGTGCTTCTAAAACATGGGTACAGTGCTTATTCAAATTTCATGTGTTCTGAGACAATTTCAGCTGAAATAAAGAAAAATGCATATTTGTTATTTTGACTATGTAATTTTTCTATAAAGGTTAATTGTAAATTACCTAAGCTAGGTTAATATGGTTTTAAACTCACTTTTGTTTTTATGCTTATCATATATAAAGAACAACAAGAAATTCTCTTTCTACTTGCTACAGTTTGATTTTTTGTCTCTGAGAAACTGTAAGAAATGTATAATCAATTTTAAACCAAAATATTCCCAAATAATTTGAAAGTAGTGAATCAATATTTAGTTTTAAAGTAGAAAATATTTTTTATTACTTTGGATCCTCAGAAATCTTGAAAACATGATAAATTGCATGCTTTGTACAGGTTAATTAAATTTAGGAAGAAAAATGACAAGCAGTAATTTGTGAAATGTATGTTTACTTTGGTATATTTTTTTCTTTGCAAGGTTACTATTAAAGAAATGGTTTAATGTTCACCTTTAGTTGTAGTGCCTCCTCTAAGTTTTCAATCTTTCTCTCAGCTTTTCTCAGCTTCCTTAGCTCCTCTGAGTCTCTCAAAGAGCTCTTTGGGGACAAAGACCTTGAACGTTTCACAGGTGGTTCCTCGAGAATAAAACAAGGACATGGTTGAACTAGTTAGAACACTGGATTATGAAAGACATGCAAAATTAAAGAACAAGTAATTTTGAATACTAATAATGAATTATAAAAAAAAAAATCCTGCATGGAATACCAGAGAAATAACAAGCGGAATTACCACAGTGCTCCTGCTAAAGGTTTCTCTGTGACTCGTTAATGAGAATATTCATTTACATTTACATTGTTTCTTTCAGAATAATGATGTCCCATTAGGGAAGACTAAAGGGTTATAGACTCAGAAATGCAAGAAACCTCATTACAAAGGAGGGGATGGAGGCTGGTCTAATTGCTCTATAAGGGTCCAAGGTTACACTTGATAGGACAACCAGAAACAAGAGGGAAAGGATTTTTTTCCCTTTGAAATAGTTTAACACACTGTGAAGTTGAAGGAACAATATGCTTGAGGAATATAAATACAACAGACAGTAGATCTTATATCATAATGACCATATGGTCATTAACTATAATGTGCCTAACTAGAGACAAGAATGTGTTTATATTATGTACAGCTTCATATACCAATCTGGAGAAGGAATATGTGAAAGCAAGTATTATGCTGGGCAACATAGTGTTCATCCTTACTGCATATCCTTACAAAAAAGAAAGAAAATATTGGCCCAAAATACCCCCCTTCTTTTCTGGACTTTCATTAAAGGCAGAGAAATGTCAAAGCAGTGCTTTTTTAAACTTCAGCAATACAGCAAGCAACCAAATTAGGCCCTAGAATGTTCTATCTTGATATTAGGATTTTTTCCATTTAAATAAAGCTCAATGTTTGTGAAACTACTTCAAAATGGCAAGAAATGTATAATGGAGTTATGTTTTAATAAATAAATAAACCTCGTTCCTCTGAAAATTACTAATAACTTTGGAGAGAGTGAATTAGAGTATCACAGAGATATGGGTTTAATTTTAAATGCTTTTTTTATTAAGATAGTTTGTTCTACTCAAAATAAAAAATGGAAAGACTCAAAAACAATTATCTTGAAAACATGATTTTCTACTTATAAAAAACATTATTCCTCTATTGCGGAAGTAACAAGTACGAGAAAAATGTTAAAACTCTTACTTTTATAAAAATATTATTTAAATTTATCTGGAAATAATAGTCATAACATGATATTATGGAATTTTTATATTAGTCACTCTTTATAAACTTTTGCAGCATAACACAAATGTACTATGAATACTAAAAAGAGGTGAGACATTAATAAATGAGAAACATGCTATGCCCAATCTGTTTATTTACTAGAAAATTAAGTAAATAACATACCAATTTAAAATGAATTTTTAACCAGATAAGTTAATAGTATATCAGATAGATGAGAAACACTTAGTAAAACTTTTTAATATAAGAATATTAATTTACTGGCAAAATGGGTATACTACTAATAATATATTTAATTAATTAATTTGGGAATATAATTCAGCCTTTAAAAAGGAAAAACTCCCTACTCCTAACAGGTATTTTATCAAGAGTTTGGCACATAATATTTTTCAAGAGATTCCAGAATTATAAACAGAGAAGTTAATGCTGCCGTTTTGTTTTCTAACCTCATCTCTTGCCTTGCCAGCCTCTCCCTGGCATTTTGTCATAAAATGACAAAATGTTCCAACCTTATGTTTTGCTTCAATATTTGTCATGATGCTCTTCTCTGAGAAACTCTTGTTGATAGATACGTTCTCTGACAGTTTTTCATTTGCTATTTTCAGTTTCTCCTGTAAATACTCAATTTCAGACTTCTGGGATACCATTAGTGTTTCTAAGCTTGATAAAGATGGTTGTTGAGATACCTGTTAAAAAAGTTATGTATAAATATATATATGTATGTTTATATCTTATATTCTTTACAAATATATGCAAATACTTATATATAATATTACATCATACAAAGAAATTTTAACAATAAATTATGAATCAACATTAGTTAAAATTTATTCTAATAGAATGGCATTTTTCAATAAAATAACCAAGAGTCTATATAAATATTTTCACAAATAATGTCACAAAGATTTGCCGGGGGGAAAAATTTAAAGCATAGCACCTTGATACATACTACTCATCTATAAATTAATCATTTTAATTTTATGATTTTATATATATATGTATTTCCTCACAAAATACTCTATCCATCATGGGATTATCAAGAGTCATACAATACCATTGTATATTAATCTGGCAAAAGAAAACCAATAGCACTACACCAATTAGCATTTAATGTATCATAATTTAGTAACAACTCCTCAAAGAATGCTGATGCTTTTAAAAGCCAGTATGATTTACAGCATTCTGTTTTGAAATTTACTAATGTGTCAGATAAACTGCTAATGGTAAGCCCCACATTTTAACAGAAGAAGTCACAGGAAAATTATTTTTGTAGGAAACCTGTTCATAAAAACTAGTATTCTGCAAAATCTACTACCATCTCCACTAAATGTACTTGAGACCATCAAAACCCATGCATACATGCTATTTCAAATTAACCATTACATTTACAAAAAACAAAAACACTGAATCGTAGTGAAAACAATGTCTTTGTTGATGTACTGGCAAAGGAATATCAAATTTATGATTCTAATATTATTAATATGGTTCTAATAACCCTGAAAATATTCTCATTTAAACTTATGGAGAATCCTATCTTTCTTCCCAAATGATATTCCTAAGGACAATGAGAAAAATATATATGTTTAACTCTTTTGAACCAACAATGAGAAATATCACCTTTTCTAATTTTGTCTACTTTTTTGTTCTTCAGGGGGATAGGCAAAATTTTCCTAATTCTAACCTACAATTTTTATGATAAGAGGCATCATCTTTAATTTATACTATTATACTTTACTCATATTTAAATCACTTGATTTGTTTCCCAGCCTCTACTCTATCATACTATTAAATGTTTTACTCAAAGTGTTATTTATATTATAGTTACCACACTTAAAATATATTACTTAACTTCATTACCTTGCTTTGAACACCAAATTAAAATACTTCAAGCATTCATCTTCCAGTAAGTCTAAATGATTTTGCCCTTTTTTCCCTCCCTACTTTTAATCACTGTACAGCTCTTACTTCTTCCTCCTATTTTATAATCAAATTTATGATGTTTATAAATATTTCCTTTGATCAGTCTGCCAGGCTAAACAACTTTCAAAAGCTACCTACTCTTGTCTAGGTTTCCTTTAATAAAATTATGAAAAATATATTATCACCCCATCATTTACCAAATAAATTTTGAATAATTTGTTCAAGGTCAAACAAAAATTTAGAATAAAACAGAAAAAAAATAACTTTTGTTTTAGTATAGCCAATAAACAAACCTGTGTTTTTTAATAAATGAATTTTCTAAGTCATCACTTGATAATTCTATAGCTAAGAGTACAAAACACTAACATTCATTCAAGAAGTTACAATAAATAACTCAAATACTAATGGAGACATTAAAACTGCTCCAAAAATAGATGCTGTCACTATAATGGACTTATTCCTAATGTATTTCTATTAGTATTAATATTCTGAATATTAATGATATTATTTCTAACGATAAAGGATATTTAGAAAGCATTCCTTTAAAATCCTCGATAAAAAAATAACAGATCTTCAGAATTAAAATACTGTGAAAGTAATGATAACTCAAATTCACATAGAAGCCAAAAAGATAATGTAGGTTAAGTAAAAGGTGTTGTGTTTCATGTGTTTTAAAATAACAGCTTTAGAATTCATTCATCAAGAGAAGCGCTTTATATTTATATTAACCATGTAATATGTTCCTCCCTTTCACAAAGTAACATATAGTTGTTCCTATTTCGTTTAAATGTGGTTTTCCCTCTCTCTCACTTGCTTTTTATCACTTTTGCTAGAGATATATTCACAAGAAGTAATTTACATTCTCTTAATATTTTTCACAAGCATAAATAAAGTGAATTATCAATACGCAGCCTCACTGTCGAAGAGTAAGGAGGGTATTTGTGGAAGTTTCTACTCAACTACAGCCAATTGTTTCATAGAGGAATGTGGACCATTACTGCTAAATCTACTGATGTTTCAAGAGAAGCAAGGAATTAGATTTCTAAGGGAAGTGTCCAAATATTTAAATGTTGATTGGACCCAGTTTATGACTGCTGTTCTTTGAGATATAGGGGTGGAAGTACAATCTGCTATAAATTTTCTAGGGGAATTTGGAAATATGCATCAAAGTCCATAAAATATACCAAGCCTATGACTTACCATTCTATTAAAATTATGCTGAGGGCTGATATGGAAAGATAAATATGTGAGATATATATATATATATCTATATATATATATATATATACACACACACACATATATATAATTAAGTGAGAAAAGCAGGATACAAAGGACTATGTTATACTATAAAGATATAGATTTCACCAAACATGCATGGGGGGAAAAATCCAAACAACCTGGAAATGGTACAGTGTTATTTCTTAGCAGTGAATTATTTTCTTCATACTTCTCTGAATTTCCTTAGATTTTTTACAATGGGCATGTCACTAAATGTTTTTCAGAATATAAATATTTATTTTTTCTGCAAATAAAATAAATAAAAATTCAATGTAAAATTTTCAGTATAGGCAGGAGAAATATAAATGGAAATCTCTTCAAAATCTCATCCCTCCAAGTTCTTAGTGGTTAAGTTTGGGATATATCTCCCAGACTTAAAAAAAAAAATATATATATATATATATATAAAATTCTGTCTTTTAACCTACTTTTAAAATTAATAGATTTTATTTTTTTAGAACAGTTTTATATGTACAGAAAAACTGAGCAGATACCACACCTCCTAGTTTCCCCTATAATTAACATCTTAAGCAGGTATGGCACATTTGTTATAATTAATGAGCCAATACTCATATATTATTATGAACTGAGAACATAGTTTATTTAGATTTCCTGAGTTTTTACCTAATGTCTTCTCTCTGTTTCAGGATCCCATCTAGGATACATTACATTTAGCTATCATACTTCCTTGGACTCCTCTTAGCTGTGACAGTTTCTTTTTCGTAGGATGCCCCTCCTTTGGAATTTGTCTGATTTTGTTTTCATGATTACACTGGGGTTATAAATTTTAAGGAGGAATATCATAGAGATAAAATGCCATTTTCATAACATCATATCAAGGGTACCTACTATCAACATGATTTAGGACTGTTGATATAGACCAAGATCACATAGCTAAAGCAGTTTTTGTCAGGTTACTTCACTGTAAAGTTACTTTTTGTCCCCAACCCTGCTGTACTTTTAGCCTGCTTTTTAAATCTTAATAACCATAAAGATATATACACATAATTATATGTATGTATAAAAATATATGAGAGTATATATGTATATTCTCATGTATCCTCCCATATCCTTATCATTTTTAAGGGCTGTTTTACATGTGTAGCAAAATCAAGTTAGCCAACCCCTTCTCTGTGGATGTAATACTATTACCCTTACAATCCTTGAATTTTGAAAAGTTAACTTTTCTTACAAATAATTATTAGTATTTTATAAATTTTTTTCTCTAATATTAAAAAATCCTTTGCTCCTTTTAGCTGACAGTCTTAGAATATAATTGTTTGGTGCTAGGCATGGTTAATCTGATGAAAAATGATCAGAGGACTATATGTCTAAAAGTCCCAGTTGGAAATAATCTCTTTAAATTGCCATTATTAATAGAAAACTGTTTTTCACATTGACCCACAAAGCATATTTTGATTGAAAAGTTCTATAGAAGATATAGAATAAAAGGGATGGGAGCCTTTAAGTGTTGTGCCAATTATTATATTAAATTTATATAGCTTAAATATTCAATCATGTTACATTAAATCCAAGCAACATTGTATGGCATTATTACAATGGAGACTGATTGAATACTGTCTTATAAATAAAAAATTGTTTCATAGCTATAATAACTACAAAGAATTTTTAGTTAAATTGCTTTATTAGTTTTAACCAAATATATCTACTATATTAAAATAATAACTAGCATTCTAGTTCTTGCTAAGCATTTTACATATATTATCTCACTTATTTAAGAAACTTATAAATTCCAAACCTGTCAACACATAACACAGCCTAATGCAAAATGACAACATTTAAAAAGGACATGATACCTCAGCACAAGAAATAGTTCCTTCTACAACAATCTCTCACTGGAAATCAGGTATAAGTCAAACATATGTATGTGTGTATGTGTACAAAAATACCTAACATATACATAAATATCAGACAAACTGACTACTTGAATGACCGTTCTCTTAAAACCAATTCAAATCCTCTTGGAAAACGACAGTAAAAAATGTGTGTGTGTATGATTTTCTTCCCATGAAATGCCTGAATCTCTGTTGAAACTTGGCATTATATTTAAAATCAATATTAGAAATGCAGAAATACATCTATTACCAATTCATAAAACATTGTTAGCTGAATTATCCATAACTTAAAAATGAATGACTTTAATAATAGTCAAATATTCTTGGAAAAAAAGGGAAAAGAAAAATAATATCAATTTAGTATGATATCATAAATCAAAATAGTCTTATAAGAAAAGTTAACAAATAGAATTAAGTGTACTGTTTAAACTTATATCACACTTTTAGAAAAACCACTAAATTGAGTAATAAATGTCTAATATCAACAAATTCAGCTAGCATTCTTTTAAAAAATATAAATATTTGCATTTCTTCCATCTACTCACTTTTAATCTAATATCCTCAAATTGCATTTAGAGATCACAAAATAAATGAAATTATTGACACATTTTGGTAAAACTTTCTTACCA